TTTGGTTCTATAAATATTACATTCTTGTACCTCATTCAGGATTGATTTCTCTGTCCTTTTTTAGCCCAAGGTTGAAGTGCTAGACATTTAAACATTCTGTTTCTGCCAGAAAGGTGCAGTTTTCCCTCTTACTGACTTGGTGTGTTTTCAGTTTAGCATATGGATCAAACATTCCTTTTTTTTTTTTTTTTTTCCCCAAAGAGGCAGGGTCTTGCTGTGGAGCCCAGGCTAGTCTGAAACTATGCAGCCAAGGATGGCCTCAAATTCTTGGTAATCCTCCTGCCCAGCCTCTCAAGTGCTGCGATAAGAGGTATGGGTCACCACATCTAGTTTAACTTCCCTTTTATTCCTTGACCCATGGGTTATTTCAAGATGTGATATTTAAATTTTTTTAAAGCCAAGAATATGGTTTTTCTTGGTAAATGTTCCATGTGCTCTTGAAAAAAAGTATGCGTGTTGCTGATGGTGTGTGTGTGGGGGGGGGTGTCTGTGACTGTTAATTCAGTGGTATAGGGCAGGTACATTCTGCTCGGCTCCCATATCCTTAGACTTTCTGCATGCTTGTCCTGTCAATTGCTGTGAGATTTTGTCATTTGATGGGTGCGGATTGGACTTTTTCCTCACAATTCAGTGTCTGCTTACTATAGTTTGAAGCTCGGAGCTAGCCATGTAAACAGGACTGTCACATCTCTATGATGAAATGATGCCTTTATTACTATGAGAAGACCTTCTTTACTCCCTGGTACCATTATTTCTCTAAAATTTACTTTTCCTGGCATTAATATGGTCATTTTGGCTTCCTTTTGCTGAATATTAACATAGTGTATTGCTTTACAAATTATGTTTACATATTTTGTCTTTATATTTACAAAAGGTTTCTTTTGTTGTGTTTCTGATTTTTAGACAGGGTGTCCCTGTAACCCTGGAACACACTACGTAGGTCAGGCTAACCACCTCACAGAGATCTGCCTGCCTCTGCCTCCTGAGTGCTGGGATTGAAGGTGGTGCCACCACCCCCACCTTATTAAAGCAGGTTTGTTGATGGTTGTTTTTTTTTTTTTTTTTTTTGGTTTTTTTGAGACAGGGTCTTCCTGTAGCTCCAGCTGTCCTGGAACTCACTATGTAGACCAGGCTGGCCTCGAATTCACAAAGATCTGCCTGCCTCTGCCTCCCAAGTGCTGGGATTAAAGGCGTGTGCCACCACGCCCAGCTAAAGCAGGTTTAAAAAAATTTCTTTTTAGTATTTTTATGTGTATGAGTGTATTGCCTGCATGTGAGTGCTCCCATGTCGTGCAATGCCTTGGAGGTCAGAAGAGAGCATTGGATTCCCCTGGAACTGGAGTTAAGGATGGTTCATAGCTGCCATGTGGGTGCTGGGAATCAAACTCAGGTCCTCTGCAAGGTCAGTGCTCTTAACTGCTGAGCCATCTCTCCAGCCCCCAAAGCACATCTCTTACAAGCAGCATATAAATGGGTCTTTCTATTCAGCAGCCTTTGCCTTTTACTTGCAGATGTGCCATCAATTTACATTTAATGCAACCCTAAGAAACGTTAAATATTGGTCTTTTCTGTCAAATCCTGTAAAACTTGGTTTGTGACAAAGGATTCTAATCTTTTAATCCTACCACATCCTGTAAGACTTCTAAGGAAAGGCCCTGGGGCAGTGGAACTTCCCCTTCCTTAAAGTAGCCAATCAGGAAAAACTGAGGTTGGACCCTCAGCCAATGGGGAAAAGACACAGTACTCTTGCATTAGGGATAAAAACCTATCAAGCTTCTGGGTCCTGTGTGCTTGCTGGATCTGACCACGCAATACATCCTTTTGCAAAAGTAAACTCTGCCGTGACTAGCTACTTTCACTGTCTGCTTGTTCTTTGTGCAGTATTGCGGGTGGACCTCAGATTTTCTAACACAATTATGTGTCTGGGTTTAAGTTCGCCATGCTGCTTTTAACATTTGTCCCATCTGTTCCTGATTTGTCCCTTCACATCTGTCTTCTCTTGGGTTTTTGTCTGTTTGCTTGGTTTTGAGACAAGGTCTTATGTAGCCCAGGCTGGCCCTGAACTCAAATGTAGATGGGGCCAGCCTTGAATTCCCCATCCTCCTGCCTCTGCCTCTCAAATGCTGGAATAACAGGCATGTACCACCATGCCTGGCTTGGGTTGAGTACTTTATGAATCTTTTTCTATGGTTGTATTTATAAGTTTTATAATATGCTCCTGTGTGCCTTTGATTTACACCCTATCACTCACATATTTAGTCATGTATGGCACGCACTTCAATTGTTAAATGTCAAAGGATGCTTCGGTCATCACTGGACCACATGACAGTGGTCTCGTGGGATGATGTTGCCTAGTGACACTGCAGTCATACTTGTAACAAGCATACAGTGCTTACACGGGGGCAAAATCACCTGGTGATATATTTCTCAGAGTGTGCCTCTGCCACGAGTGACTCCCAATTCTATGAGGATCTAGCCACGGCTGGCCTGGACATGTTATGGAGAGCAGGCTGGCCTCGCTCTCACAGAGATCTGCCTGCCTCTGCCTCCTGAATGCTGCATGCACCACCACATCTGGCATACCTTTAATTTCTTCACATTATAAAATGTGAAGAAATGTTATGTAGCTTGAAGTGGCTGCCTCTTAAGGCACATTTTCCGCACCTACTTGTTCCTCTGTGCAGGTCTAGGTTCCTGTGAGTCTCTTCTGCAACAGGAGTGTTAAGTTTGTAAAGCCCTGTATTTAGAACTCAAGCTGTATCCACACTAGTAAAGAGTTCTAAGTTATCAGAACTTTCTCATTCCAGTGGTTTAGGGCGTCTTCTTGCATTAAAGAAATCTGCAGCTGGGCCTGGAGAGATGGCTCAGTGGCTGAGAGCACTGGCTACTTTTTGCAGAGGACCCAGGTTTGATTCCCAGCACCTGCATGGGAGCTGACACCATCTCTAATTCCAGTTTCAGGGGATCTGACACTTTCTTCTGACTTCTGCAGGCATTGTACAACATGGTGCACTTACACACATGTAGTCAATACACTCACGCACATACAGTAAAATAACATTTTATTAAAAAGAATTCGCGGCCTCACTTCCTTTGTCCTTTGCGCGTTCTGCTCTTTTCTTTGGCTACTTTTGAGATCTTCTCTGTGGCTGTGTCTTATCAGTTTGATGGGCGCCATGACCTTCAGTTTTGTTTCTCTGCTTGGATGTGTTTTCACATGTGAGCTTTCTCCAGGAGCTGGTAAATGCTCTGAGTCTTCCTAATCTTCTTCAGAGTCTCCACTTACCTCTAACTGGCATTGCTGTTCTGCTCCAGTGACTGATGCTTTGTTCTTGTTTCACTGAGACAGGGTTTTACTACGCTGCCAAAGTTGGCCTCCAACTCCTGGGCTCAACCAATCTCCTACCTCAACCTCCTAAGTGCTGGGACCGGCAGTGTATCCTAGACCCAACAGAAGCAGTTCTACAAATCTAAGCTTATGGGAAAAATAGAAAAAGTCACCTCACAGAGTCCATCCAGATAATCAAGGGCATGAAGAGGCATCACATTGTCACCAAGACATCTACACTAGACCCCACCCCACCTTCTGAACAGCCAAAATTATAAAGCCAATTTTTCTGTGGAAGTATAAAGACACAATTCTTTAGAAAACGAGCAGTACTGAGCACAGCAGGCAAGATTGAAGCACACACGTGCTTCCTGAGGAGTTTGCTCACCAGAGTCCGAGTGGGGAGCCAGAACTCAAGGCTCTTATCAAAGGTGGTGGGACAGCAATGGGGATGGGCTGAAGGGTGGAAAAGGAACACTTCCCCGGAAGCCCCAGGCCCAGACCTGCCCCACCTCAGGCTTGACCCAGGGAGATCCGTCCTGACACTTGCTAGGAGCCATGGAGGACGAGCTGAACTCATGCAGCATACCGAGGCCCTTCCACAGCGGGCTGAGCCATCTCAGGAGTGGCCATCTCAGCAGCTGCTGGTGCCAGGGCTGCCTCTCATGCTCCTCAGGGAAGGAAAGTTCCAGCACCCTCTCTACGCTCATGTGGGTACTGCATTGGGCCATGCAGTCACAGCTTGTTGCTACGCCTCTCCATGGCCCCTCTGTTTCTGACTTGTGCTCTGCGTGGTCCTGGGCAGAAAGAAGCTCTTGGCAGGTCATCCCCCAGGGGCTCCTGGACACTGTTCCTTCAAGCTTACCTCCTACCCCAGGATCCAGGTGTAAGGAAACTGAATGCCAGATACCCTGCACAGCAGTTCAGGGGCCACATTTAGAGACCCCTGGGGCTCTGCCCTTCCTCCTCTACACACCTGACACTGTATATATACATTAGCATCTTATAACACTAAAGAGATTATTTGAAGCCCAGGTTTTCCTTCTGAATCATCTAGTCAGGTGTACAAGAGGTACCAAGACTTGATCTCAGCTTAACATCCCAACGTGCCGTCTCATCCATGCAGGCACAGGTAAAGATGAGTATGTCCCACTTAGAGCAGCCCTCCTGTGAACAACTCTCAGACAAGGCCTGGCGCCTTGAGACAGAAAACACTGTATGAGGAGCAACAGAAACCACTTCAGCAACCATCAGATTGACGGGGACCGCCGATGCCGTGTCAGCAGACCACACTTCTCAACACACAGCACTTCCTGTCTTCGCCACAGCATCTCTCCTGACAGGTGTCACCTGAGCACTGGCAACAGCCCTCAGCACTTATTGATCCAGTTGGGAGATACCCTTGCCACTTGCTCCTTTCAGTGCAGAAATGAATTGATCTATGTGTTGATTTCTGAGAAAGGTTTTTTTTTGGTATTTCGAGACAGGGTCTCCCTGTACCTCCAACTGGCCTGGAATTCGCCATGTAGACCAGGTTGGCTCTGAACTCACAAGCGATCCATCTGCCTCTAAAGGCATTCGCCACCATGCCCAACCTGAGAAAGGTTTTTAACTTAAACATCTGATATACTTTCTATATTATTCCAGGGCAAGAAAAATGTCACAGCCAGAGAAATTTATTTTAAAATAGAAACAAACATACATTAGGCTTTGAACAATCAAATTTTAAACAGAAGGAAAAAAGAGCCATTTGATCCCAGAGTCCATACGGAACAATTTTCCATATGCATGTAAAATTCACATAAGGAGCACTTAAACACGACGAAGTGGAAACCCGTCACCCTCCGTACCTCTGTGTACTCAGTGTCCACTGCCACCATGGGACACTCATGCCCTGAGAGCCACTCTTGGATGACCGAGCACTAAGATTCAAGTTCACGTAGGGGCATGGTTAAGTGCTGTGGTTTCTTCCAAACACAAGGAGAGGATGCTCAGGGATTTTGAGAAACGCTCTGAAGGATTTGGCAATGCAGAAGATATGATGTCTAGGAATTCCCCAAAGCCTCCAGGAATACTCATCGACCCCTGGCTGCACTGTGCTGTGGTGCCTGGAGGCCGGGGCTGAGATGCTCAGTCTGAGTGGGATTTCCACTTGGGCTGCTACTCATAAGACTCCCCGTATTCATTCACCCTGCTCTTATCCACAGGATAAAGCCTACAATGACAGAGATGGACAACCATTAACAAGGCAAGTTCCTGCTGTCCTTAACTTCAAATGGGTCCTTCAGGCTGGTGATGGGACATCCCCCCACCCCCCAAACAGCCCTGCATCAGTGGCTAAGTTCCCCCCAATTCTCCACAAGCTCACGTCTACCTTCAGATCTGTTAGGGAACCAACTATGGATCTAAAAACTAGAGAATCAGATCTCATGCAGCATGTGGCCACAGCACCCCTGTGCAACAGTCCTCTCAGACACAGAAGCACAGACAAAGAGTCACCACCTGCAGATCGCTGGAGCACCTTAGGGAGGGCAGGTCCATCCTGCATCAGGAAGGTCGGACAGTCACAACCTGGGAGGCTACAGCGAGGTGCTGTTACCATGGGGGTGGTGGTGCATGTGCATGAGTGCGTGCATTGTGTGTGTGTGTGTGTGTGTGTCCCTCCAGGTGTAGGGAGAAGACAATGGAAGGAGGAACCTAGGGGGCTGGAAGAGGAAGGACTTAGCCAGAGGTAGCTACTGCGGAGCAGCGACTATTCAGAGAAGTTGTTTCCTCATCCTGGACTCAGGCTCTGGAGTGAGGGAAGGAGGGGCAGCCCAAGTGGCCAGGAAACTCCAGAACCTGGCCCTACCCCAGGTACAGCCCATGGGCTGGGGCAGCATCTGCACAACAGAGAGGCCAGACACCAGCTCAGAGAAGACAAGATGGGCAAAGCAAGTATTTGTTTCAATGTGTCTCCTAGAGGCTTTTCCTTGGGAGTTGGGAGGTCACCGCTGTTCGTCTGAGGCCCTCGTGGTTGCTGGTGACAGAGGGTGGGTGCTAACCAGGCCCAGATGAGGGGGCCCTTCTATACAGTCACTAACTTCCACTTGCAGGGCATACAACCTGAGAGCAGACCGGACCTGGGCTTGAGAACTCAAACTGGCAAGGGTCAATTGTGAGACAACACACTCGCTTGCCATGTCATACCACAAACTTGCTGGAACCTACATTTTGGGCAACACAGAAAAGCTACCACCTGCCAAGTCTTTGCCCAAAACAATGAACAGACAAGTGCAGGATTCTTAGCTGGTGAGGTGCTGTGTATGAACTTACCACCGCTGGTAAAGGTAGACCAAGAACACCACATCGTCCCTGAAGCAGGCCAGCCGGTGAGACGTAGGCATGGTGATGATAAAGGCAAAGACGTCATCGATGAAGGTGTTGAAAGCCTGCAAAGCCACACGGAAGAAGTGAAACCGCAGCGCTAGAACGGACCCAGTGTGCTGCCTCTCAGCAGATGTGGGACTTAGCACCATGATGCTCACAGCAGCAAGGAGTGCAAACAAGCCACCACGGAGGTGCAGACTACCAGCTGCTGCATCAGCGGGATGGCAGTTCCAGGCCCACACGTACCAGCCTTGTCACAAGGATCCACAGCTATGTTGGGAGCCCAGACAACGGCTGGGAACATGAGCAGAGAGTCACCCTGACTGGCTCCTGCGGACTATGGCTGCTTTTTAGCAGTCAACTCAACCCTGCACAAAGGGTTCCAGGCACTGTCGGAAAGCCCCAGGGCTGTGGTCCCAGACACTGGGTCACTGGGCCAGATGGAGTCTGTGTTCTGACAATTTATGAGGCCTACCACCCAAAATCCTTCCTTCACCCTGAGAGCGTAGTTGGAGTGCTTCCGTCCTGCACAGTCTGTGGCTCTTCAGTTAGTAAAGATGTTTAGCATTTTTCAACAAATGGACAGGACCAAAAGTACTGTGTTCATAGTCCTTGTGCTGACACACCCCATAAGGGGCCTTCCAGCCACCCTCAGTGCTTGGTGCTTACCTTGTAGGTAAAGGCCTTCCAGGGCAGGTGTGCCACAGACTTCATCTGAGACAAGGAAGACATCACAGGTCAGCCACAGGCAGCACAGAACGTGGGACTCTGCCTGAACAGATAGATGCCTCCTTGGGTCTTACCTTGTAATTCACAAAGAGCTGGGGCAACATGAAGAGGAAGCCAAAGGCATAAACACCTGTGGGAACAGACAACACCCATGAAAAGGAGCCGGACACGTGTGTTCTGCTGGTGCTACACACTAGGACACCTAACTTCCAGACCTCGATGGGTCTTGCTATACACACTAGGACACCCAACTTCCAGACCTCGATGGGTCTTGCTATACACACTAGGACACCCAACTTCCAGACCTCGATGGGTCTTGCTATACACACTAGGACACCCAACTTCCAGACCTCGATGGGTCTTGCTATACACACTAGGACACCCAACTTCCAGACCTCGATGGGTCTTGCCACAGTGTAGCTTGTTGGGTGGTAAATACACCAATAGTTAAGCACCAACCACAAAATGAAGGTGACTGCTGTTAACTCTTGCCCCAGAGGATCAGCAAAGGCTGGGCAGTGGGTTACCCTGAGCTGGGGTTAGGTCTGGGACGCACGCCCCAAAGCACGGCCATTCAGGGCCACCCGCTCAGTGGGCTACTGCCTTGTCATATTGCTGCTCACTGGTATCCCCGTGCATAAGAGCCCGTTTCTTGGACACTCAGTCACAGGACACACAGGCCAGAGAGGCCATATGCTCGGACCCATACGTGGGTACTAGCCAGCTCCCAAAAAGTCCACACGAGGTGTCCTGCCACATTCTAGATCCGGTGTTCTGTGTGGTTCCATGGAACCAACTGTCAGATGAGATTTAAATGCTAGTGTTGCCTGTTTTTAGGGAGGAAAACAGACCATTTACTGGAACATTCAACAGTGGGGAAGGAGTCTTACTTGACGCTCGGGTATCAGGGTGCTGGGTACTATAGGGGCATCTGAATAGGGTCAGGACTGGCCTCCCGTCACAGGAACCTGTTCCAGCAGGTGACGGGAAGGGACAGAAAAAAGCAGCACCAACCGTAAACACAATCATCAAGCAGGAGACACGCAGACTCACCATTGACGAAGCTGTTGATGAGCCAGGAATACCAACTGAAAGAGATAACGGGGCTGTGACCTTCGGAGGCCGTGGGCTCGTGGATGAATGTTAGAACTGAAGACAAAGCATGCTCTCTATCCTGAGAAACCTCTTGATTTTCAAGCACTTGGGGCAATCAGGATGCTAAGGTGGCTTGCACACACAGCTGCTCTATGCAAACAGGCTCATGTGGGGACAAGCCACTCTGAATGGGCAGATTTCATTCAAGATGTCCCGTGAAGTACAAAACCAGTTGCCCATGCACAGCTCTCAACACTGTGATCTAATCTAGCTAGGGCCACGCTGCCTGCCTGACACTGGCTCGACCCAAGGCCGCAATGCCATCTCTCCCATGACCCGAGGCCCCGAGTCTCCTCCCACTGCAGCCTGTGAACAAAGCAGCTGCGTGGTCTGTATTAGCTTTCTCCTTTCAAACTCGGTCTGAGCTCTGTTGTCAAAGGCAGTGATGGAGTTGCCTGCACTCCCCAGGTTGGAAGGCCCGCTGAGTGGTCCTTGCCGCCTTTGTGAGTACTTAAGACCACAAGGGCACGGCAGTGGTTCCTCCACAGCCCAGAGGAGCTGAAGGTCCAGGATTGATTTGCTGAACAGGGGCAGAGAGCCTGGCCTGCAGTTGAGGCCGGTCCCCAGTGCCCGAGAGCCTGAGTGGGAACTGGCCCACCAGGTGTATGTGCTCTGGGCTCAGAAACTAAGCTAGGTTTTTCAGCTGGGAAGACTAAGTTCATGAAGTCTGCAGCACCCACCTCTTATACTTGATATTCAGGAGTGAGTAGACAGCACCCCCAACACAGAGAGGGTAGAGCAGGTAAGACAAGTACTTCATGGCCTGCGAGGGATAGAGGCAGCTTCCAGTTACAACACCCCAACTACCAAACCCCTCAGCAGAGGTGTCATGGGAGTAGCAAATGACAATGGGAATCAAGCAAAAAGACAGGACCAGACAACATATGGGGCTTTGGCTCAGCTGTGTGCCATGGCCATCATGGTGGACAGTCGTTCTGCTATGATCCCAAGGGAAGTCCGTGTGTATGCCACAAGCAGCAGGAACTGTGATGCACCAACCCTGATGCATCAGACAAGCTGTGTGCTGCAGAACAGACCCAGCCAGGAGAACCCAGGAAGCCTCTGGGTCACAGGTATAGGCTGCAACTACAGCATCACCACTGTCTCTGACTATTCTGGTTTGAGTTTTGTTATTATCTCATTAAAATCTGAAATGTGGGGCTGGAGAGATGGCTCAGCGGTTAAGAACACTGGTTGTTCTTGCAGAAGACCCAGGTTCGAATCCTAGCACCCACATGGCAGCTAACGACCGTCCATAACTCCAGTCCCAGGGGATCCGTCAGCCTCTTCTGACCTCCACAGGCATTGCACGACACGGGTGCACTTACCCATACGCAAGTAATACACACATACACATAAAATAAAAATGATAAAAAAAAAAATCTGAAATGCAGATAAGCTCTGAACACTAAACACTAAAACCATCCTGCAAAGAGATGTCCCATTCTCCAGCAGCAGTGGGAAATCTAGACACTAGATGCCAGAGGGCTTCCTCCGCCTCTGTATGATGAACGTGGACGCCGGCTGCCTGGTGGACATGACCTCCTAAGCAGCAGGAACAGTCCAGTTCTCCAGGCGACAGGCTGGGAATCAGAGGCCTGTGAGCCCTTTCCTCCCTGGGAAGCGGCATGCTCACACGCTCATTCTTGGGACCCTAACTCAGGCCGGCTCCATCACCCTCCCAGGAAAGGTCTCCTTGATTATGGAAAGGCCCAGCCTGCCAGTGTCACAGGCTCTCCTCCCAGCACCCCAGCACCCATCAGCCCTCAACTACCTGGGTGTCATACTTCTCCGTCATCTTCTCAGACTCACTGCAGGTGCCAAACTGTTTTAAAATTAAGTATAATGTCAGCTGACCACAGAAAGAACCTCAGCACTGCAAGGCTGGGACTGCTGCAGCAGACACTGTGCCAACACTGGCTGTACCCAGCCCTGGGCCCAAACAATGGCCACTCCTGCCCGTTCCACCCTCGCAAAGGCCCAGACCCTTTGCTTCTGCCGAGTCAGCCCAGTCTCCTGACAAATAGGTGAGGAAAAGATTTAGTAACTGATTGGGAAGCTGGCATCGACTCTACCATTGGGTTCTACAGCCAAGAACTGCAGCACCAGCCTGTGTGGGGAGCCCCCTACTCAAAAGGGCACTGCTACATGCAGCAAAGACAATGAAATGTCACCTGCCTTCAGAAGGTTTAGTACTAACTAGGAAACAACTAACAATGGTCTCGTAAGTCTGCTCAGGCTGGAAGTAAGAGAAAGCTGGATGTGGAGGAGGAATGGCAGGTCTCACCTGAAACATGGGCCTCAGACCCCTCCAGGCCACTGTCATCTTCAATGCTTTCTTCACTTTCCAAAGCTGAAGGGAAAAAAGGAAATGCAGGACACTTAGTTCTGAGTTGCTGGCTAAGACCAGACAGGACCTGCCCCACTCGCCACTCTTGCTCTTCCCTCCACCTCTGAGGGCTAGCATGGACTAGGGAGGTTCTGCACTGCACTCAGCTACGCACCAGATGGGAATGTGCCATCACCAGCACTGACACCTGCTCCAAACCAACCCTGGTCTAACAGTGCACTGAGTCAGAGTGCCAAGCAGCATCAGTCCCTATCCACATGCCTGCTCCATCAAGCCAAGAACTCAACTGTCACTTTGTTTTACTCACGACAGCCTATCGAATGGGCCAACACACAGTCTGCCCGATAGGATCCACTCTCCACACCTACGCCCTCAGAGACTTCCTTCCCCACACTTCCAGCGGCTGCCTCCCTGAGCCCATGTATTTCCAGAGGTGTGCAGTCCTCAGAGGACCTCATGTTTCAGGACTCAGAGCAGTGAGCAAGTGCTGAAGTTCACAGACCTCGCAGAAACCCCACTGCCACCCAAACCCAGCATGGTGCACAGAACTCACCTCAATGGCAGCCCCAATACCTGTAGGGATCAGCACCAGCAGGCTTGTCTGCTCATCCAACAGGAAGAGGAAGATAACCACGGTGCTGAAACAGCGCCAGAGCACTGGGGACACGGGCACATAAGGCGGTGAGGGCATGCTCCACACCTATGCATCCTGTCCCCCATATACACGGAGTAGAGGTTTGGTGCTACACTGGCATCCACGAACAAACAAGCTGCCCAAGAGGACCACGCATTTTGTGCCTCTGCCGGCAGGCCAACTCCACACCACCACCCAGAAGTGCCTAGGTTGGGCCGGGCTGTGGCCTGCAGCCTCAATGGCATCGGGACTCAGAGATGCTCATGGGAATATTGAGAAGACTGAGACAGGGCCCAGGTTTGTGTGCCTGACTTAGGCATCTCCATGGCCAAGCATAGATCTGAGGCTGAAGGAGCTGCAGGCCCCTGGGCCCTACCTGCTTTGGTGGACATTCCAATCATGCTCTTCTTTTTCTGCCAGAAGCTGATGTCATTTTTAAATGCCAGAAAATCAAAGAGAAGCTGCAAGGGACAGAGGAGTTGGCACTCTAGGCACTTTAATCACTTGCATCTACCTGGCAATCTAGGTGCACTGGGCCCAAACCTGAGGCTCAGCAAGACACATGTTCACACCCTGCCAACCCACCCCCACTCCCACCCCATGCTCCACAGGCCAGAGTTTTGGAACGTGGAGGGGAATGATGTTAGTGGGCACTCCCCAAACGTACACCTCTGACTCAAATCACAGGGATAGCACCCTGGGGCCCGGGAGCCAAGTGCCACCACCTAGGTCTCAGCCCATTAATACTGTCCCATCTCTCACTGTATGACGTCCCAGTCATCCTTACAGACACTGGCCTTTAAATAAAGTGACATTTGCTGTGGGAACCTATGGGATTATTGGCACCCAAAAGCTTCACTGCACCCCAGTATCACTCTAATCCTCCACCTGGCACACTGACAGACAGCTCTCCAGCACTTCTGTGCCGTGCACAGGACACACAACTACACACAGGACTGCTCACTTTTCTGAGATGGAAGAGTCCACTAGGGGTACAGCACAGTTCTAGGGAGTGATGACTGCTGGAAAAGGGACGTGAGGGGATGGAACTGCACAACATCCATGAACTAGGTCAGCGGACCCAAGCTGGGAAAGCCAGTGCCTGAGGAGCCACCCCAATGTCTGCCTTGATAAGAACTCAAGTGCCAACTCACATGAAATGCTGCGACAGAGAATGTCAGTGCTAAGAGATACGAGTTGGTGTCTACAAAAATTCCCTTTATTTCATCAGCGTCCTTTTCTGAAAATCCTGCAAGGAAAGAAAACGCCTATCTTAAAGAGTCATTTCAGCCTTACCTAATGTCACAATGATTCTTAAGAAAGTCGAAACTTTTATCTTGTCAGCAGGAAAAGTCAATTTGACAGGAGTTGTGGCATTTAAAATACTGGATTCTGGGCTAGAGAGATGGCTCAGCAGTTAAGAACACTGGTTGTTCTTGCAAAAGACCAGGGTTCGAATCCCAGCACCCACATGGCAGCTAACAACTGTCCGTTAACTCCAGTTCCACGAGATCCGATGGCCTTTTCTGTCCTCCATGGGCACTGCACAACCCAGGTGCACTTACCTACATGCAGACAATACACCTATACACAAAATAAAAATAATAAATATGAAAAAAAAATATTGGATTCTGAAGCTGGGCATGGGGGCACACACCTTTAATCCCAGCACTTGAGAGGCAAAGGCAGGCGGATCTCTGCGTTCAAGGACAGCCTGGTCTACATAGCAAGTTCCTGGCCAGCTGGGGCCATAAGGAGACCCTGCCTCAAAAAGACAAAAAAAAAATATTCTGAATAAAGTCAAATTTCTGCAACCACTAAGGTCACATTCAAAGAGGAAAAAGATGCTCAGACATCGCAACCTTCTGACCACAAGGCCATGGTGACCCCTAGCAGGAGGTGTAGCTATGTGAACCTGTGGCAGCTACTGGACAAATGGAGGCAGAGCCATGGCTCAGATCCAGCAAACACCCCATCCCATCCCGGCCCATCTTGGTCCAGGGCCCAGGGCCACCCACCGAACTGCTGCAGCGAATACACGGCGTCCTGCATGTGGATCCAGAAGCGTAGCCGCCCCAGTGAGATCTTGTCGTAGGACACAGTGAGCGGCAGCTCGGTGGTGGAGCGGTTTATCATCTGCCACCGAGAGATCCACAAATGAGAGAGGGTCATCAACACAGAGCCAGGGCTCAGCACAGCTTTGGCAGTAGCCGACACCACACACCATGTCCCAATAGATCCCTGTCTGTCCCAACAGCCCTTGGTTCCCAGCAGATCCCTGCCTGTCCCTTGTGCAACCTCCAGCAGCCACATGCCAGCCACAGTGGGCCTTGCAGGGCTCAGAGTCTGCTCCAGGGCTCTCTCCTCCTCCTAGGCCTTTCCCATGAGACAGAGCTCTACCAGCTACTGGCTCAGAGAAGGACAGGAACTCTACTGGACCTACTCATAGCTCTGTGCTTTTCACAAAACCCAGTGTATCCTGAGTTTCTGAGAAAAGAGAAACCAAGTCAGAAAAAGAGGCCAGGAGCAAGCCTAACCTGATTGCCCGTGACTGCCCTGGCCCTGGCCTGCAAGATATCTACATGCAGATGGCACTTGAGAAAAGTAGAACTTTGCATTAGGGACTTGGGGTTCAAGTGAAGAGCTGTCCTGAGGGCCTGTCATCCTGAGCCTCAGCCAGCAGCAGAGCCCAGCAGGAATCTGAGGGGCAGGGACCAGCTGTGCACTCTGGCAAGCATCAGACCCTCCCTTGGCATTTAGGAAGTACTCATCAAGGACAATGGGAGAGGCAGACAGATGCTCACCCACAATCTTTTCTCGCCTATGACCCCAGTCAGAGCACCCCCCTCTTGCTCCAAATCACCTCTGCTATGAAAGAACACTGACATGGCCCCTGGAAGCCACTACTACAAGGTCTAGGAAATGCTTAGCGTAACGCTTGATGGAGTAAATGCCATTAAGTATTAACCACTGCCACCCTCCTTATAACGCAAAGCCCAAGTTCAGCTACGTTTCTTTTACCCTAAGTACCCTTGCTCTCTCTGGCAGGATGCTGTTTTATGGTGCCCATCACAAGGGCACCAGAGTGGCCACTTCACCTCCACAAGACTTTGGTACTGCCCATGGCTATCCCAAGATTGTGGCTCCCCCCCTAGAATGGACCTGAACATCAATCTCTGGTTCCATTCAGTACTAGCCCTGAGGATGAGAGGCTGCTCAAGAAATTGTAAAACACTGAAGGCTTCACATACCAGCAGTAGGCATGTAGGCCTTTTCAATGGAATTCTGTGGGTCTACCAGCTAAGGTGGTAATGAATGACCTCCCAAAAACTCTTCACCAGGAAGAGGGTCCTATAAGCAGTCACCACAAAGCTAGGGACCCTCAACCCAGATCCCAGCTAGGGACCCCCAACCCAGATCTCCATGCAGCTAAGTCCTCAGACCTATACCCAGCAAGGTCCAAAGACTCCCACATGGCCCCCTCCTGGCTGAGAGGTCCCACCATGAATGAAAGCTCTGTGCTACAGACCAGAGCAAGTTAGGAGAGTCAGACTCACCATGAGGTCCTTCACTCGGTTGCTTAGCTGGTCAATGAACAGGATAGGGAGGTAGTGTACCGTCTTCCCAAGTTGAATCCTGGGGGTTTGAAGCACAAATGGCCCAAATGTCAGTGTTAAGACTTCCACCCTCAGGGCACTAAATGTCCAGTAACCAGGTCAAGCTGGGCACATCCCACCCAGCATCACTGTTGGCTATATATTGACAACTGGAATTCCAGTAGACAGCCTTTCCAAAGAAAAGCAGAAAATGTTAACCCCATATGACAACAGTTACTGCCGCCAGCAAGAAGACCTGCATGCATTCTAAGTGGGTGATGGGGGCAATAACTGAGACACAGTCATCCATGGAAGTCTCAACCCCTGGAAGGAGGTGAGCCATACACTGCTGCAGGCTGGAGAGGGAGGCTGGAGATGGGGTCGGGGCTCTCCCTTTCTGTGTCAAATGCTTACGTTCTGGAGCATGAGCACAAATCAGATTTTTAAAAAAGATTTAGGGTCGGAGGTTTAGCTCAACGGTAGGGCTCTTGCTTCACACGTACAAAGTTCTGGTTTGATTCGTTGGCACCACACAAACACAAAAATATTCAAGTCTTTAAAAAAAATGTTTTTTTGGAAACAGGGTTTCACTACATGGCTACAACCAGCCTGGAACTTGCCATGTAAACCAGGCAGCTTTCAAATTCAGAGATTTAAACTATCTCTGCCTCCCAAGTGCTGGCATTAAAGGTGTGTACCACCAGGCCCAGCAAAAGAAAACTTCAAACCTATAACACCACAGGAACTGTGGTAAGCGTGATCTCATCTCAGCCACTTTCGGAAGCCACATGGTGATGTGGTGGCATGCTGATGGGTCTCAACACTGGACTCCTGAACGTGGAAGACGAGGTGTGAACATGCTAACAGTTACACTTAACTAAGGATGGCAAGCAATACCTAAGGCGTGGCCTAAAGATAAACTCTTAAAGGAGTCCAGTTATAAAATCCCACATTTCACAGCTTAGATAGCATGAGGACAGGGAAAACCCACAGGGGACAGAGCAGCCACAGCTAACCAATGCCTTGTTTCTGCCCACAGGACACTCTGCCTGGAGTAAAGAGCATAAGCAGTAGGTGAATTTCACTCTTTCTCTTGATCCTGTCAGTCTCCTTGATTGGTACAACCTCCAGGTGGTGAATGAATGAGGAGCTGGGGTCTCAACAGGCAGGGTCCAGGACTCAGGTGTGGCTCACCGTACTTGGACTCCCCCACTACCGGGCTGCCTGCTGTCAGCTGTAGGAACAGCTGCCCTCCTTGGGTCCCACTGGAGACTTACATCTTCATGTACCGATGCACATCTGCAGGCAAGGAGGACCCATCAAAGACAAAGTCATCCACCATCACATTCAGTGTCAACCTGGGTCTCCAGTGAGAGACAGGCTCGTCCAGGGCATTGGATGGCTTCTTATCTGCTTCTATCTGCTGCTGTGAGGGGAGAAATGGAGGCCATGCTGTCTGAATGGGCCTAGGACCACCTACAAACTTCCTAGATGGGCACACAGGGGAAGGAGGCCTAGTTGAGGAACTCTAGGAACCTTGGGCTGCCAGTCCCTGATCACATCCTCAATCCTCCTTCCTGAACTGGTCACGTGAGATTCTGAGGTGGTGGGGTGTAGGGACCAGAGAGTCAACAGAGCAGATGTGAGCTACCAGCCCTGTGGGTTTATGGGAGATACTTGTACATGAGACTTGAGCAAACCAAGAGTGGTCTGAAAGGAGACGCAGAGACATCAACTCTAGATAAAATAAACCCAAGAAGACATTCTGAGTAAACCAACAATCTCAAATTCAGATGATTCATTCAGGAAGGAGTACCACCCTTTCCTCCCTAACAATAGCTCCCACATAACACGACATTCCAGGCAGTAGCAGCAGCCTGCATTTAATGGTTCTAGAGGCTCCATTACCTACCACACACACCACCAGCCTGCTCCCAGCACCACCACCACAAAGGCCCTCTCAAGAAAACATTCAGAAGTGAACACTGGAAGCGAGTTCTCAGCCCCATGAACGATCACTTTTCCCTGACACAGTCTCAGTCTGTCACCCAGGCTGGCCTAGAACTAACAGCAATCCTCCTGGTCAATCTCCGAAGTATTGGAATTACAGGAATGAGCCGCAGTACCTGGTTGAATGACCACTTTTCTGAGTTCGTTTTCCTTACCAGTTACAGCTTTCTACAGGTGAACACAGTGTAGCTAGTACCTATACCTTTTCTTTAAAAATAACAGTGAATTGTAACGAGAAGATGCAGGCAAGCTCTGCGAGAAGGCACACACATTTGCCCAGGGATGCCACGGGCCGAGGCCTAGAGAGGGATTCTAGTAGAGTGCTAAGGACCACTGCCTGTCACTGACTTGATGCAGTGTATCTGCAAATGCACAGAAAACTATTCGAATGAAAGATACCAGTACTGTTACAATTCCTTTTGTTGTTGTTTTTTTGAGACAGGGTTCCCCTGTAGCCCCGGCTGGCCTAAAACTCACTATGTAGCCCAGGCTGGTCTTGATCTCACAGCACTCTGCCTGCCTCTGCCTCCTGAGTGCTATGACTAAAGGTGTGTGCCCACTCCCAGCCCTTCAGATTTCTTTGCTTTTAACAATGTCACTAGGGCCCTACAACATGTAAACTGCCACATAGTATATGTGCATACAACTCTAAGCAGGGGCACAAGCTTGCTACAGTTGTCTGTGAAGACCCTTACCTGAGCGGCAGACTCCCCAGTGAGCAGGTTAATTTCTTCCGGTTTGGGGATCATGTAGGTAGTCAGAGGACTGACCAGGTGTACCTGTTTCCCATCGTGCCACGGCAGAATCCCAGCATGATGTAGGAAAATATATGCGTACAATGTCCCATTGTTTCTTGTTTTCTTTGGTACAGAAACGTTAACTGTCCTAAAACAGAACAGTCAGTTTAAACATGTACATGTTAATTCTACGTTTATGTACCCAAGACAGTCCTCAAACTTGAGATCTTTCTGCATTGGCTTCCCAAGCAGCCGAAATCACAGGTGTACACCACTATGCTGGCTTATTGTTTATACACATGGCAACTACTCATCTCTAGATTCATACCACCTAATTTTAGCTCAGAACTACTAAAAATGAAACTCACCTGCTTATGACTTTACTGATTCCAGAACACACACTTGTCCCAAGTACTTTGAAAATCACGGGCAGCTATAAAACTGAAGGTGAACAAGCCAACACTTCCTGCCTCTATTTCAAGAAACTCAGAGGACAGCAGCTTGCTTTAAAAGCGTGGTGGAAACTGATACTGGGCCTGGCAAGTGATCAGATGATTTCTACAGCACACTAATCCAACTTAAAAGTTACAGAATCAGAGTTCAGATTCCGTTAGTGCAATATGCTACAAGCACTTTGGCATGGCAAGAAGCTTAGAGTTATTGAGGACAGGTATTTGCTTTTTGTAGTAGGTATGAAGACAGCAGCTCACTGCAGGGCCCTGTGAGACTGGGTGAGGGAAGCCAGCTGTACTCCTCCAGGCTTTGGCCTCAGCACTGGGTCTTTGCCTGCACTCCATTTAGGGCTGCATGATAAATTTCCACTAAAAATCACACTCCACCACGCTCCGGCTACAGAGGGCTTCCTCCTTCCTAACCAACAAATCTGATGACCACAGTTCAAGAATAACTTCTACCACAAGGAGATGCACACAGAACACAGGCCTCCTCTCTAGCTGACAAGCAGATGTGTTTCTATCAGGGCACTGAGGGTCCTCGCATGGGTGCTGCCCTCACACTGGTGCTCTGCTGTGGCATTTCTGGCAGATGCACACTAAGCTCGAGCTCAAGGAGAGCTATTCCAGGAGCACTATGTTCTCTAGAACTTCCTCCAGGCTCCAAAATGAAAGCATCACTATCTGTACTGCATAACTGGCATAGCCCCTGACAAACACACTGCAGCATTCAGCTCTGTGAAACTAACCCCGACTGAAGGTATAAGGAGCCAGTACTTCCCATCTCCATTTCAAGACGATGGGAGAGGGGAAGGGAGGAAGGTCGGTAACTCTCCCAAGGTCACAGGCTAAAGTGGCCAAGTGAATTTGGCATGTGGACCTGGCCAGTGCTTGGTGGGGGATGAGGTCTAGTTGACCAGAGTCTGATGCCTCCTGAGCACTACAGAACCTTGACTTGATGACTTGTCATTTAAAAAAATCATATTTGAACTTTTACAAGGACAAGAATCACATGTCAAATGCTAATTCCTAAGTTTCTGTACAAAGTTGAACACTGTTGATCTGTCACACGTCAATTATGACTTTCTACATAATGCTGTCCTCCGTCCCAGGTTTTCCCCCTTATAAGTTAACAGGGAACTACTTCCATCAGGTGGACCATGACTCCTCTCCTCTGGAGAGTACATGGGCTGGAGCATACAATGCCATCCCACAGGAGTAAAATCTGCTTCCTAGGTGACAAGCTTATCACCTGTGACAGCGTCCATGTTCACCTCTATCCTAGGTGAGAGTGCTTCTCTGGGGCAAGCTCATTCTGTACATAATGCTACCAATGACCCCATCTCTGGTACTGTCCTACATTCACACCTTTCAAATTTGGACTCCACATCAAAGTCTTCCACGTTCAAGACCAGGTCCACGTTGTTCTCTGCACCAAGGCTGGATCTCGTGGTGGTATAAACACTCAGCTGGAAAGGGGCAGCAAGAATGTTAGCCCAAAAGGCTCTGACAGGAAACATCACTATCACCGCAGCAGGGGGCAGGCAATCTATCTGGGGGCTACCTCCCAGGGGCTGAGCCTGGGTTTGGTTAGGGTGGCCTTGCGGGGCACCGCTGTACAAGAACTTGCCAAAGTGTAGGGCTGTCTTGACTCCCTACCAGAATCAGGAAGTGACACAGGTGGGAAGCGGGCAGAGCTAGCAGCTTGCAGCTTATGGCTTCACGGAGTCCCATTAGGAAACTGGACCGTGCCACGGCAGGGCCAACTCGACTTCAGCGCTCTCACCAGGGCGGAGTGTCATCAAGCGGTAACGAGGGCAACAGAGGGCAGCAAAGCCCCAACTCCAGCTCCCACCGCCGCCACGTCGAGCACGCGACGGTGACAACAGTGGCAGGGCCACGGGGCGCAGGTGGGGAGCGCCAGGCCGGGAGGGGCTCACCTGCAGCTTGGGTCGCCGTGCCAGGTAGGGCTGGATGCAGTTGGCGTCACCCGCGCACGGGCGGGTGTAGACAATACCGTACATGACCCAGCAAGTGTGCACCACGTACACCACAAACACGCCCACCACCAGGCTGGTGAAGGAGCTGCGGCCGCTCCACATGGCGCCGCCGCCCGCGGGTCGAGCCCCACCGCCCGCGCCCCGCAGCCGCCCGCAGCTCACGGGAGAGCCGCCGCGCGCCGTCGCCGCCGCCTCGAGGAAACCAACGCGCCAAGCGCGGGCAGCCGGCCACCCTGCATACTCCCGCCGCCCACACCCGGCGCCGCAGGATTCGCCGACAACCGCTTCCGGGACCGGCGCCGCCGCCGGAAGTGGACGCGCGGCCTCCTGGGAGCCAAGGGTCGGCCGCGTACGCGCTTCCGCACGCCGGGAGCACCCATGACGTCACCCTGCTGCGCCGCCCTCCCGGCGTGCCCCGCGGGGACTACGCGTTGCGCGCGAAAATGGGAGGTGGTGCAGTGCACGGGTGTTCGGGGGAGGTTCGCTAGTCCTGAGCCGCGCGTCCGTGACGTCACCCTTCTGAGCCGTCTTCCCGGCGTGCCCCGCGCGCGGATGCCAGGTCGTGGGAGGTGGTACCGGGTGCTGCCAGGTCCTGAGGCCGGAAGAGGCGCAGGTAGACCGTGGTGCAGCCGCCTTTCCTGGGCTGTGGTAGAGGTTCTCCAGGGTTTGCTGTCCGTGGTATTGGCGATTCAGCCACTACAGAGAGCCGGTCTCCTCAGTCTAAGGATACTTTAAGAACGAGTAGAGCGGGGGCTGGAGAGACCGATTGCTCTTGCAGAAGACCGGGTTCGAATCCCAGCACCCAGATGGCGGCTAACCATGTGTGACTCCCATCCCAGGGGATCTGACGCCCTCTTGTGCCCTCCGCGGGCATTACACGACATGGGTGCACTTACATGCAGGCAATAAACTCATACACATAAAATGAAATTTTAAAAAGTTTTTAAAAAATACGAGAACGGCCATGTTGCCCCCTTTCCATGCACCTCGGTTTCCTGCTGCTGACCTTAATCCCGCTTGTGCTTGTCAGTAGAATGGCTACTTTGTAGTACAAATGTGGGTCCTGCCTAACCTCTCAAGTGGATACAGACTTGTATTTTTCCGGTATGCACGTTTATTACACACCCAAATAAAACCACCTGTGCATCATTTTAATACTTAATATTTTCTTGGTTTACACTACACACAATTTCTAGAGTGAACTTAATACCTTAACTGCCCAGGGCAGCGGCCATCAGAGATCCAGCAGGCAGCAAAACCTTACCTTCTCTTTCCCGGGGCTTGTTAGTAAATGATGCTTTTTAATGGAGAGGCATTTGTTAGCCCATGGTGGGCTTGCAATCCCAGTCCTGTCAGAAGAGTTTGTCCAGCTGAAGGCCTTACATTGTTGGAGTTGCTTGTTCCCTTAGCCGTGTTCTGTAGTGGCATTGTGTATCACTCATATAAAATCAAAAGTGTGTTTAGGCATTTGTAAAAAAGAAAAAAAAAAACTGGGCTGGAGATGGCTCAGTGGTTAAGAGCACTGACTGCTCTTGCAGAGAACCCGGATTCGATTCCTAGCACCCACAGGGCAGCTACGAACAGTCCTTAACTCCAATTCCAGGGGAATCTGAAGCCCTCTTCTTACCCCTGCAGCATTGCACGACACGGATGCACTTACATACATGCAGGCAATACACTCAATACACATAGAATAAAAATAATAAAAATTTTAAAAATGGTGTTATTAAACTGGTTTCATAGGAGGAGCACCCGTTTCAGCAGGAGGAGCTTTGGAGGATTCATTGGGGGAACTGGCTTTGAGCAGATGGAAACAAGATTTATGGATGCAAAGATTGCTGTGGAAGAGGGCAGGGGTGGTTCTGGCACCAATTCGGGTGGGACAGAAGCGTCAGAGCCACCTGAGACTACCTGCCCCTTACACCTTTGCCAGCTGAGTCCTCCCTTCAGGATCACACATTGCCCTTGTTTTTGTTAGCCTTACAGTGATGTCTAACTGGTTCTCATACCACTGTCCTTCCTGCCAGTTGTTCTCAGGGTTTAGCAAACCCTGTCAGGAAATCCGGTGCCACATCTGTTACCCTGATGTACAGTACCAGGCTCCAAGCTCTTTGCAAGGTGGCCCTGTTCACAGGCCACTCTTGCTACTCTGGTCAGCCTATGGATAAACCTGTGGTCTGCAGCAAAGACAAACTCCAGCTGTTTAGGCAGGCTGGTGGGATGGGGGTACTGTGGCCTCCACATGCCAAGATGCAAGCAAGGCCTCAGAAGGGGGCTGCAGAACCCAAGAACTCTGGGATATGGCTCTATGTCCCTTCCTTCCTTAAATACCTCATTTTTTGTGTGGTTCCAGGCCTGTTCTCAGAGCTGGAATGGGATTGGCACCATCTTGGTGGTGTTCACTCCTGTCATCCATGGTGTCTTACAGAGTGGGACATTTGCCAGTTGTGGTTCCACCAAGGGGGATTCTGTGCAGGTGTGCATATGTCCCAAGATATCTATGGTGGATCATACTCTGTGCTCTCAGGGCCTGGACTTCTGTTTTCATAACTCCTGTCCTGATTAGTTCCTGCACTAGGAGGGACTGCAATATCAATCCCCTTGTGATTTGACACCTAAGGACTGTTTTCTGAGCCTGCACAGCATATGGCAGCATTTGGCACCTGGAAATCCCCTGCTGCCCCTTGATGCTCCTTACAGGGTACCAGCTCCTTGCTCAATCCCCAGAAACCTGTGTCCAGCCTTTACTGGACTCTCCTGTCCCCATAGCCCACACTCTGATGACCTGACAACTGAGTGCAGTTAAAAGCTAGGTAGCTGTGGCTCTTTAGACAATAGGGATTGTCCCATTTCCAGCACAAACTTCAGCCTCAAGTACTGACACTGGCTACACTGCAGGCTCCCCTAGAGAGCAAGGATTGCTGTGTGCTTTTCACTGTTGTGAGGAATTTCACTATTCACTAGGCATGGGAGAGTCTTGCATTTGTTCTTGTGAGAAACAATGGTCCTCACTTCATAATACAAATACTAGAGGGGCGTGAGAGATAGTCCAGCCCTTAAAAGCTCACACTGTTCTTGCAGAATACCTGAGGTAGGGTTTCCAGCAACCATATTGGGAGCTTACAACTGTTAATTCCAGCTCCAGGGAGACCCCGGCTCTGGCTTCTGCCCTGCTCCTCTCCAAATTCCCCGCCCTATTGGTTCAGAACACAAAGCCTTATCTATTGAATATCCTGGGATTTGAGAGTCCCTCCTTTTCTGATATATATGGGTCACACAGAAGATTGCTTGTAGCTTTTCAACCCTAGGATGAACTGGGAGTGTTTAGACAAGTAGGCACCTGCAGCCAGCTAGGGAAGATGGGGGCCCAGTGCCTTCTGATTATCTGTGACTTGGATAAGCTCTAAACACATCTCATATTGAAAATAGACCATAATGGTTTAGTTCTTGCATTCTCACAGAGCTCCATGTTAGCAGATGCTATATTAACTTTTATGGTGCCTTATCCATGCCATCATTTGAGGCTGCTTAGCTTCAGGGGGCCATTTGAATGTAGAATGTCCAGAACATTCCACAAGACAGGTGAAATATTCAGACCTTGCTGTCTGTGTTCAGTATGAATTCAGACACTGACTGAGGAAGTCACTCAGGATGACTAGGGAAGTGTAAATTCAAGATTCTTCATCCCTTTGTGAAGTCCCGGGCTGTGGTCATGTGCTATGGGAGTAGGAAAGGCCCTCCCTCGAAGAGCTTCTCTGCAGCCTTAGGAGGGAGAGTTAAAGACGTAGGAGGAAAGGTGGTGGGGCAGGGTCTGCACAGTACCCACAGCCTGCCTGCACCCCGCTGGCTCATGACCAGGACAAATGCCAGCTCTCCTGGGAAGGAAGGCATAAGGCCCCTGCTTCTTGTTCACCCAGAGCTTGCACTGTAGACTTCAGGTCTGGCAGGTGCAGCAGCCCACATTTGGTCATGTTTAATCAGCCCTCACCTGTTTGTGACTCGGGGTTCCTCTGCCACTCTGATAGGCTCTGCATGGTTCTGGGGCTCATTCCCACCATTAGCTGCAGGAAGAGGCGTCTGTCCTCTTAACCAGGAGGCTAGTGTTAAAGAGGGAGAGTGGAGGTGGGCACGAGCAGGGGGCGGGCTCCGCCAACACCCAGATTTCAATTTCTTGATTCCAGTGGTGAAATCTGAATGCGGATGATGTTGCTGGTCCACCAAAGTCATTCCCTCATTGATGGGCCGATTCCACAGGAGGAAAATCAATGGGGTTGCCAGTGTCTGTTGTAGAACACAGCCCTGTCATTATCTTACATAAAGCCAGGCCAGCCTCGCACAGAGCTCTCAGTATGATTCAAGGCTGAGGTTTGTAGTTACCTCAAGAAATCTGTTTTTGAGCAAATAATAGATTATATTTTGTGGAACTCCTGGGGAGCTGTACCACTTCTGACAGCCAACAAGCTCATGGAAATGGCTCTTTTGGTGGCAGGCATGAGGCTGCGTCTGCCATCTCATCAGGTCTTCAAGTTCCAAGCTGATGCCTTCCCTAAACGCCGGCTCTGCTCTAGCTGTCGCTGTAATTGCCCCCTTGACAAGTGTGATAATGACAGCTCTGGATCTGCCACCCTAGTGCTAGGGCACAGAGGCCTTCCTGAGTCAAGGAAAGCAACTACTAACAGAGACCGTGGGCTCCTCAGACAGGTAAAGTTGCAGATACATAACTGTTCATGTGCCTCTGACAGTCCACTTCATTGCAAGCACCCCAGAAGAGCCCAACAAGTAGTATCAGATGGGTTAGAAGTAACCATGTGTGAAACCAGTTCCTACAGTAGTTCATTTAGTGCATCCAGTAACCTTAAACTAGGATCAATGGTCATGCTGCTGTGCATACAAGAAAACTGAGGTAAGAATATTTTTATTAGATACATGGAGCTGAGGCTGAGTTCATGCCCCCTACTAAGCTGCCCACTCAGCCCTCCACCAGTGTGTATGAGGTCTGCGCTGTGGTCATGGGAAGGGCTTCTGCTCATCAGCCCCTTAATCTGGAAGGCACAGGACCTGAACCTCACCTTTGTTTAAGCCATCTAGAGGGTGTGAGACCCCTCACCATAGAGCTCTGAGGGAGCACAGGAGGATCCACAGGCATGCCTCAAATCCTGGCTGTCCAAACCAGGGGGACCTGCCACAGGGGCTGGGCTATATCACTCTGCATTCCCATGGGACACAGGGAGACGCAGAGATCGTCAGTGTCACCCTCTCCTACTCCAGAAAACCTGGGATACCATCTGTGAAGACAAGTGACTTGTCTTGATCACACAACACATTCAACAC